GAAGCTACAACACTAAATCGATGACTTTGGCGCAGGTCTACGCGCCCGATTTGGAAGGAGAATATGAGACCTTCCTTGAGGAAGTGCAGTGTGCTCTGTCCGAAGTGCCGAATACAGGGGATTGGTGTGAAACGCATTTATGTTGATTTATCATAATTCAGAATCACTTAAGACGATATTGTTATTCGACCAAGATTATTATACATATCGTTTCTCAGAAAAAACATAACGTTACTTTGGAATTAACCAGCTTTCATGCAATTCAAAAAAATTTTCTGTCCCTTGAATTTCGAATTCATGTAATGGCGTTTCGACAAATCCCTTTATGCGACAAACCCCTGTCTAAATCTGGAACTGTGGATTAATGACTCTGCTTCATTCCAAACTTCGTAAAATACTAGAATTAGTTACATACTATCATTAATGTCCGATTGTTCTCTTAAAGCCTATCGAATTGTATTCAACTGACCAATGCTAATATGAATGAATATAAAAAAAGTAATTAACAATTTTTGCATTGTATTGCATGCTTAGGTTCTTCTCGAAATTATGTAATATATCAGCGGGCAGCAGGCGTGTTCAAGTTGCGAAAAAAAATTCCAAATGCAATGACCATTTAAGAGTATGTTAATAATGCATGACTGCAGGTTTACAGTGTCTTCGTCCAACAGGATTCAACTTGCAGGTCTGAGATTTAGAAGTATTTGAAACTGGTATTTTAAACTACGCTGAAAACTGGTATTGCAATACTCTGCATCAAATGCCAGCAACTACTCAGAGACATCAGTTTAACAGATTTCGTCTCGAAACTCGAAGTTCATAGACTAACTGCTGATCTTGAGCATATTTAAAATGGTTAGATCAGGACTGCTTAGTCAGCAGAGCGGTGGACTCGGGACCGCGAGGTTCCGGGTTGGAGTCCCAGTCAGATCACTGGCCTTTCTTCCTTCTGAAGTTGATAAATTGGTACAATTGTGTGGGAAGAAAAAAGACAACACACTATGCTCGTCACATAGTGGTTGTATACTTTGTCTTTAAAACAAGGCATTGCCAGCTGACTGAAAAACTGTCATTCATACAGTACCTCACCATTAAATCATGAAAAGAGGACTTAGTTATGAAGCTTTAAGAAAGAATAAAATTGGAACCGCTACATTTCCTTCCTTCTCATTAAACAGCTATAACGGTCCCAGGCCTGAGAAATTTATTTGCGTCAAAGAAGCCTTGGAATTAATGTTCTTTTGGCAACGTGCAACAAGTGCCAACAAAAACACTGCTGACAGATCAATTTTCCGGGCTTAGAATGGTTGTTGCCACCCACTGAATAACTGCTTATTTAATGTACAAATTTATACCACTGCTAAAATATCTACTTTCCTAAAAGGTACAGATAAACTACAAAAAGGAAAGTTCAAAAACTTTGACCCCTGGCATATCAATAATTAATCAAAATGGTCATTCTTTCAGATTCTCTTGTTAAGGACAAGAAGTAAAATAATTCTTTAATGGTATCCTGATGGCGATTGATTCGCTGTCAATCAAAACGGTTGGTCTGCTCAGTAAAAGTATAATTTATCTCCGCGTTGCTAACCATAGCTTCAGAAAGGATGGTCACCTTCAATGTATCAGTTAAAAGAGTTAAAACTCTGAAAAAGCAGTCGAGCTGAAGCAAAAACAGCTAAACATTTAGAATTAAATATAGAACCATTATGACTGATCTGTGCCATTATCCAACTATTCTTTGCCAGATCGCCACTGTTCTATCCACATGCAAACAGTGGGGTTAAAAGAATGAACGAATTTTTGATATTTAGTAATAACATTGATTCGAACTACTATGAATGACCTAACCATTTCAGTAGCTGATGATAGGTGGTCAATGTGAAGAGGCATTTGGTAAAAATAACATATTACCCTTGCAAGTTCACTCTCTATCTCGTTGATCTTCTGAATCAGGTTCAACTTGTCAGCGTCAAGCGAAATCACTGTCTTGCGAAGAAGGGCGACGTCGTTTCTTAATGACAGATTCTGTTGCGAACTGGCCGATAGTTGATCCAATAGCTGTCGCAACGACCGATCGCTTTTGCTGAACTGGTTTTGCTGCATATTCAGGTCTTCCAGAAGCTACAAACATTAACGTTGTTTAAATTAGACAGAAAGCCAACATAGTAAATATGACATCACATTTCGGAGTATCCCCTCCTGCCTTAGCGCGTCGATTGTTGAGGGCACCAAACAGCACAGATGTTAATGCTTTATTACCAACGCGTTTCGCTACACACGCCGTAGCGAGGTTCCTGAGGTACAACGTATTTACGGTTCAGTTAACAACCAACGAGGTATATAACCATAACATCATACTTCAAGGTCAGATCGACTATACAGTATGAAGAAACAAATGTTAAAAATGCAAGTGATCCACTCATCCTCTAACAGACATTTATACACATTTATACGGCTATACTGCTGATTCTCGGATTCCGCTCAATGTTTGCTGTAAAGATGTCGAATTAGAATAAAGACTTTTATGGTCAACATTCTTCACACCTTCAATCATTAAATTAAATGCACTTCTCTCTAAAAGATTTCTCATTAAGATGTTCCTTTTTCAGTTGCTCCATGACTGGGCTGCTATGCAATGCTATAAACTGAAGACAATTCAAAACAAATGACTACTTTTTACGCCACATCCAATATCTCACATAATTTTTATTTCGCTAAGCTTAATGCACCAACGAAATACGCATGATGTTCAAAGTAGCAATAAGTCAAAAAAAATAGCGCAGGTTACGAGAACGATGGCTACAAGCGTTTCTCACTTAAAATTCATATGTTACCTCCTTCCTTACCTCACGGTATTAAGCATAATTAAGCTAAATCGTATTCAGACGATTTAGATGATTTAGATATCGTATTCAATACTGCTTTGATTCCGATAGTGTGATTAACACAAGTTAAACAGCCATGAATACGTGCAAACGCTGTAATCGACCACTCGAGCAACCGTCTACCCGTGGGGGTTGGCATGCTGGCATAGTGTTTGAAAGGTACGCCTTGAAAATCAGAGATGAGGGGTTCGATTACGATCGATGGCAATCTTTGTCATATTCAGGAATTCCTTTGACTAAGTTATTTGATACCAGTTTCTTCCGACCTGGGTTATTCAGTCATTATGGCACCGAACTCAAAACTGATCTGTCCTAAGTTCAAGCCTTGGTCAGGGTCACTCGCCCCTCTTTCATCTGAAACTCAAAAATGAGTACCACTCTATGAGAAGGAAACGACAGCCTACATGCTACGCTTATCACATGGCTGCATACTCTGCCTTTCAAATAAGGCAGACTTTGCTGATGGCTCCAAAATGAAAATTAAGAAAGACCATCATTCCAATGGTGATAGACTTTTTTTCCTCTTTTACTATTCGTCAATGTGATGCCAAGATCTTACGTCTGCCTGCATGCTTAAATTTTACCATGGGAAAGTAACACTGCCAAATCTGTGCCAGATCTTCAATTCAGGCTACAAACTTCGCACTGAAACTAAAAACAATGGGAAGAAACGTAAGAGTGCAAGACGTGCCTTCCCCTTTAAACTTGCCGTTATGAAGATGAGACAACTCTGTGTTAATCAGCTCTGTGGAGATTGATACATGCAACATGAAATAACTGTATCAGCTAAGGTTTTTACCTGCTCTGTATAAACACTTGTGTTGTTCGTAAAATGAAGTTCATGTATGCAATCTTGTTAAACTGATGTATGAACGAATAGAGCAGTTACAAAGTTGTCTGGAAGTCAAGATGACTCTGCAACTCGAATCACCTGTGATATTAAGCAGAAAACATAGCCTGTCGTTCAACGAAAGGTACTCGGTGCAGCTCGATTACGAACAAGATATAGCAAAATATGAAGCATGTACTTCTAAATCAGAAAAAAACTCACGTTCTGTTTGTCTTTTCGCAGCATGTGCACCTCGCTTCGCAGGTTGCTCAATTCCGCAGATAACGCATCGGTCGATTGATCATTGGTACGCTCATTGCTGCTCTAAAAACAGTTCGAATTCAAAATTATGCATAGCAAAACTTTTGTCCACTGTATTTGAAAATCGAACCGATTTGGTCTGCAATTCCCCGTACGCTCGCATCTCATTCAGATAAAGCTTAAGCGACTTTTGAAGCTTCTCCTTTTCCTCCGCCGAAGTTTTGAACTGGCTTTCAAGCACCTACAAAGAGATTTATCATGATAACCAAACAGTAACGATCCGAGCTCTACCCGCAGCACCGTAAATAGCCGATAATCTGCTT